GATGAAGAGATAGACTCGCTCAGGAAAGGCATTTTTTTTTTTTCTGTTAAGAGTAAATTGATTTGCCTGGGGAAAGGTGAAGAGAAAGAATAGGCATGTCACTCAACAATAGGCCCATCATTTCTTGGCTCTCAGGTTTCCGTGGACTGTGCCAAGCCTGGCAGGTGACCGGGTCAGACACGTGAGGCTCCCGGCTCACCTGAGCTCACCAACTGTTGCCATGCTGACAGAAGATAACGCCACAGGGGGAGTGTGTGGACGCTGTGCCAACCTCTGGTTATACAAGCACATAATATACGTGATCTAACAGTGTTTCCCAGAACTCTACACTGTAGATCTACATACAAATGAACACAGTTTAATGCAACATGGGCTCCACAGCTACAGTAAAATCTGTCCGTCCATGCTTTTCACTCTGCTTCACCATTCGTGACTACTTGCAAATTGTATTTATTTGAACACAGTGTATTGCACTGTATTGCATTTAAGTGATTTTCTCTGGTTTTTATTAAAAAAGAAACCCAAAAAGACCCTGCTTTTGGCAATTTTCAGTTATTCTAAAATAACAGACTTTTTCCTGCATGACCTTGTATCAACAAACAACAATCACGAGTTCTAAGAAAATGCTAAAACCAAACAGTTACCGTTCAAATTGAAAACTTTGCTCATTTAACCTTTCCATTCAGAAGCATGTTTCAGGTCTTTGTAGGACTGTGTTTGACTCAACCAATGTTCTGTCTTTTAGTCTGTCAATAAACCTGTCTATCTAAAATGAAAAATACTTCAACCGCAATTGCAGATTTTACTGATGGCTGCATTTTAATAGGGAAATAAACCCAGAAGCTACATCAAACTTTGATGACACTGATAAGACTGGAATGAAATGTTGCTGTTTTTTTTTTTTTTAAATTTCTCCATTGATAAAATACCAACAGAACCCTTATTTAACATCATATTACTCTGGCATGACCTCAGGCCAATAGGAACACACGGAGGAGCTGCCTCTGCTTGGCTGCTGGCAACAAATCTGCTTCTAAATATAAAAGTTTGTGGAAAATCCCATGTTTAAAAGGATCTGCCTTGGGAATCAATAAAGTCTTTTTAATACCGTTGTGTCTCTAAAAGGAGATAGAGAGCCTATTTAAAGAGTATGTTTAGACGAGCAACTGAAATAGCTGGAAGCATTGTGACATTTAACTTTGCTCTGACACCATTTTTCTGTTAAAGTCCTTCCCACTTATAGATTTAACCCCTAAAAACTCATCTCTGTGTTACATATTTTTAGGTTTTTGACATGAAAATAACAATTTCCTGCTTTAAAATAGCTTATATGTAACTCAGCACCTCTTCCCCACCCGACTCACTGCAGTGTAACAGCAGCAAAGGGGAAAGTACAGATGTGTAGCGAACATCAGTAGAAAA